ACTCCTGTATTGAGAACAGAAACTTAGTGGAGTTTTGCACATTACCAGAATCTATTGCTTTACAACTTAAATTATTCAGACGGAAAAGGCTTGCTCAACTAGACCGAGTTCAGCTCAAGTGGAAACAATGGCAATAAATCGTTTTCGAAAAGTTCGAAAATTTTATCGACCATCTGGAAGACATTGTAAACGTCGGCCGATCAAATTGAAGATCAAAGTAGATGACATTGTAAGTATACCACAAAGTTTGCTGAACTATTCTGTATCCAAGGGTCCAGGTCTTAATTTGAAATTTCAAAAAAACACCAGTGTTTGATGGCTACAGAATAATTGACTTAGACCAACTTCAGAAACATGTGTCTGAGATTACAATGCATACTGCATTATGTTCTGAGGCACAAATGTGTGCATTGGTCAACCGTCCGGTTGTTAAATTGGTGGCTGAGAAGCAAAGACTTGGATTGGCTTCAATCATGCAAGCTGAATGTCAGGGGTGTGGTCAGCTGTTTCAACTGTCAACGTCGAAGAAAACAACATCATCTTCGGGTCTGAAAAGATACGACATAAACTTGAGAGCTGTTTGGGGAAGCATGGTGACCGGAAGTGGACTTAGTCATTTATCTGAGTGCCTTGGAACAATGGGAGTTCCATCAATGTCACAGCCTACATTCACTGCCATTGAACAGGAAATTGGCAACTGGTGGTACAGTGTCCTCAAAGAAGACATGTTTGCTGCTGGAGCTGAGGAAAAAAGGCTAGCTGAAGAAAGGAATAACTATCATCAAGGTGTTCCTGCTATAACAGTTGTATGTGATGGTGGATGGAGCAAGAGAAGCCATAAGCATTCCTATAATGCTCTTGGAGGTGTTGGCATCATAATTGGACAAGTGACCCGAAAGCTGCTCCATATTGGCATCCGGAACAAATACTGCTACACCTGTTCCTTGGCAGAGAGTCGACAAAAAGATCCTGGGCAACATGAGTGCTTTAAGAATTGGGATGAGTCGAGTCAAGCTATGGAGGCAGATGTCATTGTGGAAGGCTTTATGAATGCTGAGAAAGATCATGGTGTTCGCTACATGCGCCTTGTTGCAGATGGTGATAGTTCTGTGTATGCCAGAATACAGAAAACAGTACCAATTTGGGGTCCTCATGTAACTAAGCTGGAATGTGCAAATCATGCATGCAAATGCCTCAGAAGCAGTTTGGAAAAATTGGTTGACAGACTACCAAAACTAAAGGGAAGAGGAAAGTTGACCTTGGCAACTAGAATAAGAATTGTGTCTGCTGTTCGATGTGCTATTCGCATGAGGTCTTCTGAAGAAAACAGATCCTTGGCTTGTAAGAAATTAGTTCATGACATTAAGAACTGCATTTATCATGTTTTTGGCGACCATACCAGGTGTCCTGAATTCTGCAAGAAGTCCTCAGGTGAAATTCCAAGTACAGAAAGCAGTCCTACCTCAACCTGTGAAGATGAACAATCTGAATCTGTTATATCAGTTGTGGGAGACCAGCAAGACTTTTGGACTGATGGTTCTTCTTTGAAAGATCAGGAAGATTCCAGATTAGCGGTACCAGGAAGAGGATTGTCTGCAGCTGACAAGGAAATCATAAACGAAGTTTGTCAACTATTGAACCGCATTGCATCCAAAGCTGAAAGATTACTTGGTAACTTCACCACAAATCTAGCTGAGGCCTGGATGAATATTCGTGCCAAGTTTGATGGTGGAAAATTTTTCAATAGATGCTCGAGAGGGTCTTGGCACTGCAGATGCTATGGTGGCGCTCTTCGTCAGATTTGGGAACCAAGTGGTCACCTATGGTATGGACAAAGGTGACGCACACAGAACCAACCAGGTCCTTTCGATGTTTGTATGACAACAGAGAGAAGCGTCTTCAACTTCAGCGCTTGCTTAGTGCTCGACCTGTGCAGAAAGCAAAACGCTGGAAAAGACGGATGATTGGCAGAAAACAAAGCGATTCCACAAAAGCTAGACAGGAATATGGTACAGATGTCATCGAGGTTGTTGCTGATTACTCTTCTCACCAGCTTTCAATTTTGAAAGCGAAATTTGACAAAGATTTCGTACAGCTGTCCAAAGAGCGGGTGAAAGAAATTTGTGAAGCAACAATCGACCAGTCTGATTCAGACATATGGCATGATGAAAGACGAAAAAGACTCACTTCATCTAACTTTGGAGACATAATGGCACGGAATTCAAAAATCGCAGTTACAACATTCATCAAGAGGTTACTATATTCCACTTTCAAAGGAAACAGGTTTACGAAGATTGGATTAGCTGCAGAGAAGGCAACAGTTTCTGAGTATTGTGCAAAGAAAGCTACAGATGGTGACCCTGTTACAGTAGAGCATACAGGCTTACAGATTCTTCACAGTCATCCATTTCTTGCTGCAAGCACAGACGGAATTGTGTCATCATTGGCATCTGGTGAGAAGGGTTTACTTGAGGTCAAGAATGTTCTCATGAACAAACAGTTGACATTCTTGGAGGCAGTAAAATCTGTGTCTAATTTCTGCTTAATACAGTCAAGTAGAAATCAACTGGTTCTGAAGAGGAATCATAAATTCTATTACCAAGTTCAAGGTCAGCTGAATGTTTTTGACATGAAGTGGTTGGATTTTGTAGTAAGATCTAGTTCTCCACATCAGCTCCATATTGAAAGAATAGTTGTTGACAAGAACTTGTGGGTGACTAAGATGTTACCTAAGCTGACACCATTCTACTACCCTTGTCTACTGCCAGAATTGTGTGCACCAAGATATGGGAGAAGTCCAGGCATCAGAGAACCTGGTGTCTGGGTAAGTAATATATATATATTTTTCAAATGTTAACAAATGAATTAAACTGTTGTTTTTTTTTGGGCTCATCCCAGTATACCTCTTATAGAAACAAATGGAATATATGAAATGACCAGGTAAGTCTTATTGATAGTTTATGTTAGGCTGATTCTTATTTTCTAAAATTATTTAACAGTATTTACAGAAGGATACCAAACCAAAACAAGAGTCTTGTAAGCTTAGTTGTAGTGGCACCAAACCCCAAACTACCACCAGATCTACCAACAGGGCTACAAGGCAACGTTTTGTGGGCCGGGAAATTTCCCACAAGTGGATAGTTGATGAGTCATCAGGTAAATGAAGCAGTTCATTTTTTTCTTTGCTACAAGTAGTGTCTATTATATATATGGCATAAAAGTTGATTTCTACATTCCATACAGTATATCTTATATTTTATCTGGTTAAACAAAACAAAAACTGACTGAATGATTGAGTAGCTCTTTTTCTTTTTATATTATTCTTAGACAACTGTAAATGGTACCATGGCAGTGTTTTGGATGTTACCTCTGGTCTTGATGGTAACCCTGATGCTGTTTATGACATTTATTACCATTCAGAAGATGAAACATATTCCATCAACCATCTTGTGCAGGATTTCAAAGAGGATTCGGTCAAATTTATTGATGCATAATATGCATGTGTGAGTACTCCTTTTGGAGAAACTTTAGATGTGCTGTGTGATTCGTACATTTGTTTAATTGACATATTACTCCTTTTGGAGAAACTTTAGATGTGCTGTGTGATTCATACAACTGAAGATGTGCTGTGTCTTCATTGTAAAAGGTCGATCATTCGGAACATTGGCTTGCGATTCAAAATTCAAAATTCGATTCTTGAAAGAGGTGGCCTCCACGTGGCAAGGATCGGGCAGTATTGTCGACTAAATCAATACTGGCAAGCAACCTCAGTGACCTTAATTTGAACCCACTTGATTCTGTTAAAACATTGCAAGTTTTTAATTTGCCCCACCCCTTCCTTTCAAATTAATTTCAAATTCTTTGTTTTAAGAATGAAACTAAATAGAAAGTGAAAATATGTTACAATAATAACTTAAATTCATTTGATAAAAATAATCGCTTAAATTTATATTTAAAAGTCAATTGCAGGTATAGGCCAACATATTCATTCTTAAAAAAGTAGTCCAAAAACAAAATGGCTTATTTGTTTACAAATTGAGTATATTTTCTGTAAGGGTTTGTGTTAAATTGGATTTTTTTTGCAGATTCTACGCCTGGGCTATTGTCCCTTACAATAAGGTTTGATTCATGGAAAAAGTTACGCTGAAATAATCATGGTTTTCTTGTTTTATTGGAGTTAGTAAAATACCCAAATTTTGACAAATAATTGGTAAGTACATTTTTCTAAACTTTTTTTAGACTTTTTTTTTTATCTTTTTCAGTGATTATTGAGCTTGTGACACGTCCTTATACCTCTTGTATCTTGTTTGCATGTCTAGGGAACTTTTTAGAATGTGTCTTGGGTTTGCCAAATTACAAGGTTTACCTTGCCCTTAAGTTTAGGAAACAGTTTGAAGAAATTGTAATAAATTTAACTCAATAAAAATGGCGAATAAGTTTGGATTAGGTTCTTTATCTTTAGAAACTAAAAAACCTAACACTACAGCGTGGATAAATAAAGCGAAACCTTACTTTGTGGATCAAATCGGAGACACTCTTCAAGGTGATTTAGATATGAACAATTTCAAAGTAACTAATTTAAAATCTCCGGAAAACGATAATGATGCCGTTCACAAGAAATATTTACAGGATCAAATAAATTCAATTGAAGTAAATAAAAACCATTTAGAAGATAAAATATGTAATGTGAAAAGATTCTTCAAACGTCAACTAAATAATAAAAATTTTATTAATGATACTAAACTACAACAAGAGGTAAAGGGTTTAATAAGTTTTATTCAAAAAAGAATTGGTCAACGTTGCGAATAAAACTGAGTTACAAAATTTAATTTCATTAATATCTAAATTAGAGGATGAGATTGCAAAACAAAAATTAGACATTCAACAATTAATAGATAACATTCCAGATGAAAATGAAGATACGTTTCAACAGGAATTAAATGCTCTGGAAATTAAACTTAACAGTGAATTACAAAAAGAACTAACAAATATTAAACAAGAAATACAAAACATAGATGATAGCGAAATCAAAACCAATATTCAACAACAAATACAAAATATTGATGATAGTGTTATTCAACAACAGATAACCACTATTAATAACTCAGTTTTGAAACAGGACAAAAATATAGTCGCATTAGAAAAAAAGTATCTCAAGAAAGAATCATATTATTTCAATCTTCCATTTGGAAATTTGAGTTCCGTTCATGCTTCTATTACTGATAATATTGATGGATCAAAAGACTATGAATATAAAAAATATGGATTTACAGTAAATATAAGAGTATATAAACCATAAAATGATGATCCCCATAAAATGTTTCGTGATAATAATGCTTTTATTTTCAAAGGAAAACTTGCAATTGAAATAACTTTTCCTTTACAGGTAAAAGTTGATACAATATTCTTCAAACAAAACTTAAAAAATTTAACGCTCGTAAAGTTCTTCAGTTTATCAATGGTACAAATAATGTAGAAACTAAAGAATTAGATATTAACGACGAAAACAGCAAGCCTTATCACTTATATGAAATTAAAACGAGTGGAAAATATATAGATAGGTTTAGAATGTTAATCATACCAGATAAAGAAGAAGATGAATTTTCATTTAGTGTTTTTGATATGATAATGGATGGAATGTCCACCATCAGTAAGTATTATTAGAAATCTAGAACCAAAATAAGTAGCAATCAGTTATCAGTTTTTACGGGCAACAGACTTTGAATACGTAAAACTATATTTTGTTAATAAAAGTTTTTTTTACATAAAGACACATTTATCTATCCAACTGATTTATTTACCCCAATCGATATTCATAAAAGTCAACAAGGAAAACAATTTATAATATTTTCATCAATAATTGAACTTAATGATGGAACAGAATTTGGAGGTATATATACCTCTAGATGTAAAATAAGCATCAATATCGAAAAACCAAAATTTTTCGAAAGAATGGTTCGAAAGAACAAATATTCTTAGTAAGTGTAATAGTTTATAAAAAAAAAATAATTATAACAGATAATAATAAAATAAAGAATGAACGTCTTTATGGGCAACCTATTGTAGATGTTAAACACTTTCCATCTTTTGCTTTATCAGAAGTTCACTTAATTTAATTACCTAAAAAATGGAACTCGAAAGTAGACAACAATATATGATAGAAAAACAAAACGAACTAAAAGAAAAACTAAAACAATTCAACAAATGTAGAAAAACATGGAGTAGAATTGATTCTGTTTTCAAAAGATTAAGTACAGTTCTAACAGTAGGGATAACGGTGGCAACAGCCGTAACCGGTGGATTAATGCTTCCAATAATTGTCCCAACTGTATTAGCCGCGTTCATTGCCGTTCAAACTTCATCTTGTGGATTGATTACTTTAGGTTTTACATCAAAACAGAAAGCTCATTATAAAAAGAAAACAGAAATTTTAAATACATATCTTAATAAATTATTCATTTTTTTCGAAAGATCGAGAGAAGATAAGAACATAACCATTGAAGAATTAGAAAAATTCAATGAAATTTTAGATAAATTTGATGTAGAAATATCATCAATAAAAGTTAAAAATTCCTAGTTAAAAATAGTTGCTTAAAAAATATGAATAAAATTGAAATTTTAAACGATGAATCATTCATATCAAATGAACTTTTTCCAGTATTATTAACCTTATCTCTGATGAATTTATAACATTTAAAGGGCAAATTGAATTAGAAGGAGAGATAATTCAAGATGGAGATCACAAACAAAAAATGCAATTTGTAGGCTTTAATGCCAAAACTTTTCGCAATTTCTTCGCAACAGTGGATGTAAAATCGGATGCTTCTGATTGGTATTTCTCAGGAAAAATCATTTTCCGTAAAAACAATTTCAAAGAAATAAAAAGATCAAAAAAGGGTAATGGTGTTACCCTACTCAAAAAGATTAATGAATATAGCGGTATAAATTGTTATATACCCAGCGATGGATACTGCTTTGTAAAGTGCGTAAATCGTGTTTTAAACGAAGAATACACGAGAGAATTTCAAGATTTCATCAACAGTTTTTCAAAATCAAACAGAAAAGGAGTTATGACAACTGCTAGAATCTGTGAATTCAATAAGAAATTCAATACTAATTTTCAAATTTATATGCCCAAAAATAGACATTTTCAACCAAAGAAAGTATCCGAGGAATTAGATTGGGTATTTTACTTACATAAATCACATTTCTGTCTCATTAGAAGAAATAACAAAACCTTAGGAATTACAGAAATAGAAGATAATTACGATGAAAACGTATGGAGAACTTGTAGAGATGATAATGCGATAACGCAAGTTTCACTTCTAAAACTAAACGTTTTTCCAATCATTCACGATGATTGTTTATACGCATGGGATTGCGAAACCTATAGCGTAAAAAAAGCCATTCCTTATTCTTGCACGTTAATTAATTTAGAAAAACTAAGAAAAATGTTAGACAGAATAAAACATAACTTTCCAGATTTAAATCCCACTGATTTTTTCCAGAAGACTTTTATAATAAATTAATGAATATAGTAGAAATATTTGTAGGTACAGATTGCATCGATCAAATGTTACAACGTTTAGGAAAAATAGATCAAAAAAGAATAACATTAATTGCACATAACGCTAGCGGTTTTGATAACTGGATCATGATCAAAAACGTAAAAAAACGAACACAATGCCCTTTTAAAACAGCCAGAGGAATTCTATCTCTACCTTTAACTAATTCATTCACCGATGAAGATTTACAGAAAAAAATGGAAAAGACAGAAAGAAATAAAGGGTAACTCTAATTATTTGCAAAATATTAATTTCATATGTTCCTTTCAACATGAAACATCAAGTTTAGCGGCATGGGGTAATTCATCTAATCTACCAATGAATTTGAGAAAGATCACCGATATTAGTATTGCCAAATACACCAAAGATAATTGGGAATCTTTAAGACACGAATGGGAACCTTACTCTAAAAGAGATACGTTATGTCTCGGAGCTTTTTTGATAAAATACAATCAAGCAATGAAAGAAGTTGTATTTCAGAATATTTCCAATAATCTAACGGCTCCTTCTTTATCTTTAAAGGGTTGGTATTATTTATATCATTACGATAAAGAAATGGTTGAAGAAGAATGGTATGAAAGTACTAGAATGGTTCCGAAACACACCGAAAAAGAAAACGTAGAAAAAGTTCACTCACATACTCACCCTTTTATAAGATATTTTACCAGACAAAGTATTAAAGGAGGAAGAGTTTCGGCAAATCGAAAATCATTTGAAACGAATAAAATGGATGAAATTTGTAATATATTAAAGGAATACACAGAGACACCAAGTGATAATATAATTGATTTATTCAAAGAATCTAGTGCTAACCCAAAAGATAAAACAGAGGTTCATTCGAGACTTAATAAAATAAAATGTACTAAACTAATGGCCTTTGATGCTAACGGTTTGTACGCTTCCGCCATGTCGGATTTAGACAGCGAATATCCGAGAGCGGAAAGTGGTAGACCATTTCGACAAGAAGAAAATAAAGAATTTGTTAAGCTCTTTAATGAGCAGAAATTCAGACCTAGAACTGCTATTTTAAAAGTCTGGTTTGAATATCCTACCAACATGTCCTTCCAACCCATACCAGCTAAAGATAAAATCAGTTTTACGAATAGAATAGGTAAAAAGGAAACTGGCACTAAAATCAGGTTCAGAAATGGTTTCTGTCACGACGTTTTAACATCGGTCGATATTCAAGAAATAGTGAAAGCCGGTGGACGAATTATTAAAATATTAGATGGTATAGGTTACGAAGAAAATTTTAAAACTCCACCCTATAGAGATTATATTTTAATTTTGAGAGATCTAAGAAATAAATATAAACGAGAAGGTAATATCGTAGGTAGTAATTGCATGAAATTATTAGGCAATTCATTGTATGGTAAATCTATTCAGAAGGATATAACTACATCGAGACATCTATGGAGTGAAGCGACTTTAAAAGCCAACTTCGATTGACACGTTATAAACTATGAAAAAGTAAATGATTGCAATATATAGTTGAGATAAATGAAGAAGAAAAAGAATTTGACTGTACACCTCCTAAATCTACACGACTAACACCTAGTCATTTGGGATCATTCGTTTTATCTCACAGTAAAAAAATAATGAATAATTTTATTCGCGTGATAGATGGATTTTATAAGCCTGAAATATACTATACGGATACCGATACTTTATACATTTCGTCTAGCAATTGGGATAAATTAAATGAAGGTGGGTTGGTGTCCGAAAATGATTTTTGTAAAGGAAAGAATGATTACGGTGATGGTGGAATTATATTTGGTTTATATTTAGCGCCAAAAGTTAAATACAATATCATTCTAACTTTTAAAAGAAAAGAAAACGTTTAAGGGTTACTCTAAAGATAAGATATCCATAGAAGATTATATTCGATTAGCTAATGGACATGATGTAACGAATGAATTTAAGAAACCATGGGTAAAAAGTTTCACCAATGGAGTAGTTATTCCAAAGGATGATGATAAACAAAAGAAAGTTTTTAGAAGTTATCTAAATCGCGTTAAAAGAAAAGCACCGGACGATGAAGGAATCATGTATCCTTACAACGACGGAAAAGAGTTGAACATGGATGAAAACTACGAATTTGATGATTACGATTACCTTACTATTCAAGAAGAGAATGAAGAGTGTTAATTTTTTTGTTTTAAATGAAGTTGAATAACAATTTCCTCGTTACCAAAATCTATAAACCTATTTTTACCACCTTTGATTTCAAGATTTATATCTTTAATCATAAAGGAATTAAGTGGTAAATACGTCGTTTGAAATGGTTTCTCTATAATTCTATATCCTATCGGCACAGTGAATGTTGGAAGACTGTAAATAATCTGACGTTTGTATTTATTGAAAAATCCACCGTTTATCAAATTGCAGTGTTTATTTATCACATCGATATCATTTTCGATATTAGCTTTGTGCGGTGCTAAAGTGGATTGGGTGTATGTGACAGTGTGGTTTATTTGACTGTCCCTTTAAACAGTTGTTTTTTTATACTTCCCTGCACCAGCCAATCACCTGTAAATACCCCTTTGTTTTGTTCTATTTATATCTTGGGATTCACCTTTCTGTCTTCTGGGGTGAGCTGTTTTCATCCTCACCCTAGCTACTGTGTGTATTAGATACCACATTTTCATCATTTACTTTGTAGAGTGGAGACTAGATTTGATTCCTTCACCAAATCTAGTCATTCAGTCAGCTATCTGATTAATTCTACATTATTCAGTGAAAGGTATGTGTGTTTCTCTTCTCTTCTTTATGGGTTTTTGTCAAGGGTTTTACCAATTTTAGTAAGAATGGGTGTAAATGGTTTATTTTAAATATATTTCAGCAATGCAATAATTAAATTTGGAACTTGGTAATGTATTGCCTTATATAAGTTAATATAGTCATAACTATCCTGTATTTATAGGGATGTTTATTATATATATATAATGCACTTTTCAGCCTGTGTATATTACGTAGTTTAGTTTATAAGATATAGTTTACAGATATACATTTAACCCCACTTCGGGTAGGTTATTTAATAATTTATTATAAGTACATTTAATATAGTAATATTAAATAAGATAATCAATTACCATGTATTATAAGGAATAGAGTATTTTATTGTTTATATTGTGTATATTCTTTTATGATTGTATATTAATTGTTTGTACTGTTTTACAGGGTTTTTTTTAGTTATATAATAAATTTGGAACGAGAACCCAAGCCTTATTTTTGGTTGAAGGGGAGAACCCCTTGCACCCAGGGACCGGCTACATTTTGTTTATCAAATCCTAGTAACGCATTCAATGAATTTTCTACGTTGAAATCAACTTGACTATTATTTCTTAATATCAATTTTATTTTGTTCAGATTCAAATTACCTTCAAATTCAATATTGTTTTTACCATTGACACTTCCTCCATATTCAGATAGGTATTCGTTAATGGCTATATATTCGTAGCTTCCTGGTAGTAAACGTATGGTTTTGAACGTAACTCCATTATCTGTTGATATTTTAATTTGGTTATTTTTTTCGTTGATATTTCTAATGGAATTGTAAACAGAGAAATACTTTAATCCCAATTCATATTCTTGATTGCGATCGAGTTCGTACTCATAATCTAGAGACAATTTAATGTCTGATTTATTTGAGGTTATAACGAATAGTTGTTCTTTATTTGACATTTTTAATCACGCTTTTATAATCATTTTTATCTATAATACCTTTTTCTAGGAGTCTTTTTGATATACAATTTACTTCATTATATTGTCTGTGCGATCGATGTCCTTTCTTCATTGCCGCTAATATTTCTCATAATCTATTAAGTAGTTCCTCGTTGTTGTCGGATAAAAACGTTATACCTTGTCCAGATGCCACCATGTCATCGAAATCGTCTATTTCTTGTATGATTGGTGTATAATCTTCTGCATAATCATCTGATACCTCTTCTGGTTCATCATCTTCATATTCATCAGGAATAACTTTATTTAAATATGTTTCAACTGCTTTCGATCTTCTTGTTTCGGGTCCCGACTTTCTTATTGTAGAAATTTTGAGTATGCTAGTAAATCCTTGTAATCGGCAATGCCAATATACCCGCCATTTATTAAATCTATTAGCCCTTTTGTTAATGTAAATATTGTATCGATTTTGAATAAAGGGGAATTTGCTCTAAATTTTATCCTAAATCCATTAAACAATAACCCCTCATCATCAATGATTGGTGAAATACTCTTTGGTAAATCTGCTTTAGGAGTTGAAAAAAGACTATTAATATCATCTAATGTCCTAATTATAATACCACCATATGGATTCGGTTCTGGGTGATCTTTATGAGGTTCTATAGGAGGTTTATATTCTAAAGCTAATTTCTTTTTAATATCCTCTTGAGATTTTAATATGGGTTGAAATAGAGTTTGTAGATTTTCCGTTAATCCGAGTTGTTGTAATCTGTTATTTTCAACTTGGGTCTTTATTTTATTCTTAGCTTTGATATATTCTTTATTTCTTTTTAAAATATTATTCCAATCGCTACTCATTTAAAAAAAAATAAAATTAACATATGCCGATCATAACTCTTTCACCCGCAGGTTTTCTAGTATTTACAAATACATATCCATGATCATCTGGGTTTTTCCATTGAGCTTTACAAACCTTTTTAAATGCATCTCTGTCCATTACGTGATTTATCGACTGAATGATTTGAGATAAATTTTTATCGTTTAATTCAAATAATAAAAAACAATTTGCATTTTTTCTAATGAACATAGAATCCATCCCGTATAAAGATTGGGATTGGTATATGCAGTGACAGTTGTGATGTCTTCCTTTCGTGAAGAATTCTTGTTGAACAGCTTGATTTTTTCCGCAACGCAGTCGTCAAACAATATTAAGTTCTTTCGTTTGCTATCAATATTAGACAAATCTAGGTCATTAACATTTTTCGTAAGAAAAACTTTTATATCCGTTGGATTCTTCCCTTGGATGAAGTTATCTATGATATCTTTTATTTCCACTTCTTCTTCGTTTTCTTCGTAATATTGAAATAGGTCTTGAACATCTTTCTTTGGTAGATATTCTAAGGCTTTGAGGAATTGATAATACGATTGGTCTGGTGTTGTTGTGTAGATATACAAGATTTACAATCGAAATCTAAAAGGTTTTGTGTTGTCAACATGTTAAAAGTGAGATGAGTTTTCTCAGAACCGAAACTACCGAATATACACATGAGCATTGGGTTATTAGGAAATATTTCTGAATGATTAAATTTTTTACCCATTTTTTATTATTTTATTTTATTCCAAAAACCACTCCTCCTTTATACTTTGAAAGAAATATTCCTTCTCCAGTGTGTATATTTTTTAAAAATATTCCATTACCCTTATGTTTGACTTTGACTTCTCCTGTGTCAATACTCTCTACTAATTTATTTAATCCTTGTTTAACAGTTTTCTTGGTTTCTTCCCCAAATCTTTTTCCAAATTCTTTTATTGTGCTTATCATATCTCCCACTCCTGAACCTTTTGCTTCCTTTTCCATTATTAATTTATGTCTACGTTCTTCAGCAGCTTTAGCATCCTCTGATTTCTTTGTGTTGGCAGCTTTGACTGCGGCAGATATTCCTCCAGTAGCTGCACCCGCCGCTGCAATACCACCAAATATTAAAGGTAGAAGGAAAGGTAAAAATCCACCTTCTTTTGCGTTCGCGTCAATTCTTTCTAAATCTATATCGTCTCTGACTTTACAATATTTGTATTTATCAATAAGTTTTTTAGTTATGCTGATTTTTTTACCATTGAAAGTTATTACAGTTGGTTATTTTCATAACTAAAGTTTCTGGTTTCATTTTTAAGGGTGTATTTTGTACTCAATTCTTATCATACTTCTATCTGCTATTTTAATCAAATGTTTTGCTTCTTCCAATAGTAAACAATAACCTGTTACATCTCCTTGTCTTTTTTCAATATGAATATTTATGTTGACTCCTGTTTTGAAAAGATCTTCTTGGTGAGCTGATAGATCAAAACAGAAGATTGGATGATTAAGTGCAAAATCTACATATTCAAACTGAGGTGGATTTCCAAATAATTCACACATGTTTTTATAGTTTCTATACAATTCATAATTATCGTTGTTTAATCTTACTTGAACTTTATGGATTAAAGGATCTTGAGTTTGGTTCATTGCCACTCTGAAGTCATTATTGTTATTTGTTTGAGAATCTGGTAAGTTCTTGAAACCAACTATTAAATATCTTGCTGGTTTAATAGTGTTAGTGATTGGCCATGTGGTGGATTCTCCAGTTAAAGTCATGCTACCTACCGTGTTACGATGAAGAAAAGCTATTTCAATATCTTTAGTTAATGAGTTGAATATTCTCGTTTCTACTTCAATTGATGGTGTATGAAAAGTTGGAGATTCGTTATTTCTAATTTTGCATCTGAACTATTCTCTCCAAAAAATATCTTATCATCGTTGATTTCTCTTTGTAGATGAATTTTATATGGTAACCCTATGGAAACCTTTCTGTGTTCCAACAGACCGAATAAAGGATATAATTTCCAATTTACGTAATTACCCCACCTATTATTCTCAACAATATTATTGTACTGAAGTACTCGTTTTTCGAATCCATGATTAGCTGCTCGTGCTACTCTTTCTATTGTGTTTCGAGCAACAATTCTCACTCTAGCTAAATCAGCATCATTTGCAAGATTTCTTACCGGTTCTTTTAAAACACTTCCATCGCCAACATCGGGTATCCAACCTGAGACTGAATCGAAATCTATAGGATATAAAACTGTTGTCAACATTGTGTCGAATTCCCCAGGATGTTTAATTGTTTCCATCGAATTTGAACCAGCTTCCAAAACCATCTCGCTAAATAAAGATGGAAAGAAATTGTTTTCTAACGTAGTATTAGTTTGTGGAACTTGATTTTGAGTTCCTTCTTTAATTTTGAAATCACATCTGAAATAAGCATCGGAAAGAACCAACCAATTCGATAATGAATTTATTTCGAAGGTAATTCTACCAACATCATTCAATTGGGATTTAGAACCAACAGTCGGTGAGATGATAATATAATCCTCTTTTTTCTTGTTAAATGAATAACGAATCGGATCGTATAATCTAAAGATTGGATCTAATATTTTTTTTGCCATTTTTAAGGTTTAAAATTTGAGTAGAAAATTGTGTTTCCAAAATAACAAGAGTTATCTCCCTTCTACATTATTTAAAACCGGATGTTATTTTATATAAGGGTAATTTTAATATTAGGGTGTAAGTATTTATAGGGGGTTTAGGTCTTTTTGAGTGAAAGAATTTATGAAATGTAGGGTGTTTAGGTTTTTTTTTTAGTGTAAGAATTTATGAAATGTAGGATGTTTAGGTCTTTTTGGGGAGCTTACATATTGGTCGCATTTTCCCCTACTATCTTGAAGATTTTTATAATCAAAAATCCAAACATTTTTGGCTATTGTATTATAAGTTGCCACAAAGGTATGATTTTATCGTCATACTGGATAATGATAACGATAAGGGAACCTTTTTCAATAAACAAACCAAGTTCCAAGTATATTTAACCTCCTTACAATTATTGTTGACAGTTCAGACATTTCTATATATAAAAACTTTGAAAAACTTTGAAATTTACTTTATTACATTGAAATATCATCCTGAAATTGTTTGGTTATGCAACCTACGTTTAAAGTAACGAATTAGAATAAACATAAACTAAAAAAAGAATATCTATGTTAATTAAAGCTGCATATCTAAAACAAACGGTTTACTTTTAATAGTTAATTAATCTTATACTACATAATCAACATTTTATTGAGTAGTGAGTAGTATTTGAAGGAGCAGGGCGGAATTCAGTGATCGTCACGGTTAGTAAAAATTTTGATAATATGGATGATAGTATTACAAGATTTTTACTGGCGGAACAGGTAGGGATCTTATTTCAAGAGTGAATGGTAGACTGGTATTTATTGAAAGAGAAGTTATGAAAATTGATATCTGATATTACACTAATAATGAATAAAATGGAAGATGAAATCAAAGTTTTGCAGACACTATGAGAATTGAAGAATCGATGATATTTTTAAGGCAGGAGCAGAGTAAATTAAGCAATAAGACAATAGAAAACAGGGCAAAAATAGAAAATTGGCTGAGATACAAATTGATACTCAAAACACAGTGAGTGATATTCAGTGTAGATCAATGAAATACAACTAAATATTTAAAGGTCTGATGTGATCAAGGAGAGAAATAACTGAAGATGTGTTGAAGGAGTTCATTTATAGAGAACTGTATATTGACCAGGATATATTATTCTGCAACGTGCATTGAATTGGCAGAAACAGAAACAACCAAACACGACCAATTGAAGCCAGATATACATGTATACAATATACAGAGCTAGAAATGGTGAAACGGGCAACTCCGAGACTCAGGAATACTCTATATGGAATAAGCGAACAGTTCCCTCCATCGATTGAAGCAGAGAGGAGAAAACTGTATCCAGTGCTCAAAGAGATAAAGGCTAGTGGCCAGAATACAAGAATGGTAAGAGACAAACTTTTAGTAAATGGAGAATTGTATGACGCCAATATTAATAGTTATAGGTAAAAGCAGGAAACATAGAATCTCAAATTTAAATTATGCGAACAAAGCAAATCCATGGTTGGACGATTCATGTAAAGAAGCTAGATCAAATTTCATACGTTATAGAAATATATTTAACAAATACAGATTAAAGTTCGACTAGGAGGTATTTACAAAATCGAGAACTAGATATAACAGAATCTTAAAAAGTGCAAGAGAAACATTTAGGTATTCCAAAGGGAAAGAACTCCAGTTAAAAGCCATGACCAATCCCAAACATTTTTGGCGTGAGATAAACAAGTTCAAGAATCCTGTAACTCAACCAACTTGTTCCATAGAGCTTAACCAATTTTAACTACATTTAGAAAATATACTAGATGCGTCCTGCGAAAGTGTTTTACCGCTGTGTCAGTCGACTATTACATCAGATTCTTATCTTGATAGTGATATAAAACTAGACGAAGTGAAATATGTAGTCCGAAAAAATTAAAATCTGGAAAAAGTGTCAGAAGAGATGGTCTGCCTGCAGAGCTATTTAAAGAAGTCGGTGAATTATTTCAGCCCTAAGTGACTTATTTAACATTGTGTTTAACAATGGTAGTAGTATATGTCTTTTCGAATATGACGCATTTCACTTCTGCGCATGCGCAGCTTTTTCAAGGCGTCATATCCTTAAAGACACAACTGTTAAAAGGTATTATAACAGACTCCCCAAACTGCTAAAATGTATTATAACAGACTCCCCAAACTGTTTAAATGTTTTATAACAGACTCCCCAAACTGCTAAAATGTATTATAACAGACTCCCTAAACTGTTAAAATGTATTATAACAGACTCCCCCAAACTGCTAAAATGTATTATATCAGACTCCCCAAACTGTTAAAAATGTATTATAACAGACTCCTCAAACTGCTAAAATATATTATATCAGACTCCCCAAACTGTTAAAAATGTATTATAACAGACTCCCCAAACTGCTAAAATGTATTATAACAGACTCCTCAAACTGCTAAAATGTATTATAACAGACTCCATATAAATTACCCAACCACACAAGATTCACTAAAATAATACAGTATAAAATAACCGCATTAAAAAATAAGATGTCTTTAATTTTAAAAAACAAGAACAAAAAAAATTCGAAGGAGACGGTTTCTTCTCTGCGCTAACATCTCTCATCCCCAAAGTGGCCAACTTTGTCTCAAACAACAAATTTCCTCAGGAGTAGATAAGCGATGCAGTGAAAAGATCTAACGAGTTGAAAGAATTACAACATATAAGGGAAATGCGAAATGAAAATTATTGGATAAAAACCTCAACTGATTAATGGGAGGTAACACTGTTTTTTGTATATACACAGTCTAGAGTATTATTGATTTAATAAATACCTTTAACGCATAGTAACAATCACTCCTCTATTGTTGACTGGATATATGTCACGCTATAATTAACATATCACGCGTGCAACGTCAGCACAGACAGTCTAGACTCTCAACTGTTAGCAGTGTCTCAATTTTCGTTGAAGATTAGGAATTTAATCATACAAAATCAAGGTATGTTCTTTTTGTTTGATTTAATCATAAGACGACAGGGTGGAATTAAGATTAATTTGCTGTTTTTTTTTCAAAATATCAATTTTTGTTTTATTCCAGTTTAATAGATACCAACATTTCATATCACGAAGAATATTTAAACCATCGGTAAGGGGATAGAAAAGGCCAAGAATTTTTACCAAACTCTGTGACAAATATCCAAGGTTTCAAAATTGTTGATACAGATTTTCGAAAATAGAACAAGTGGTGAAGAACAAAAGGATGACGCATATCTAGCGATCCTGATAAGAGCGGTCGTGACCTTTAAATCATGACTGCCGATAGTATAAGACGGGAGATAACTATGACCGCTCTTATTAGGATCGCTCGTGACCTCATTTTTCAAACCGCTCTTATTAGGATCGCTCGTGACGTTTCATAAAGTGAATCATTTCTATCGCTTGAATAGTTTTCTCCTGTATTAAATCTTTCGTATTAAAAATATATGGTGTTTAATTCATTATTGAACAAATATGTCTTTAATAAATATCCTCCTAAAACGTATTTCGGTGCGGGAGACATTCAAAAGTCATTGGGTTCTCTTCCTGGATTCCCATGGGCAAAATATCCCGGAGAAAAACATCTCCGAGGGCACAATTATACAGGTCCAGGCACTAGGTTAGATCTGCGTTTAGACGAAAATGATAATCCCAAACCAGGGGAAGAACCCGTTAATAGAGTTGACGCAGCAACGCTCAAACACGACATACTGTACAGAAACAAAGACATAACATTCAGACACCAAGCAGACAAACAAATGATACACGAACTTGAAAATATTCCCAATCCCACTTTCAAGGAGAAATTACAAAGGGCTCTTATCATAAAACTCTTAAAGGCAAAATTGAAATTGGGTATGGGCATAGCAGACGAGATTCACAAAGAATTTCGAAAAAACAAACATTACCTCAAAATCAAAGTTTTTGATAAAGATGAAATTTGGTCAGCCGATTTAATCAACATGCCAGTCAAGAGAGGGTACAAGTATTGTTTGACGGTGATCGACATATACACGAGATACGTTTGGGTCTTCCCCTTGAAAAACAAACCGGGTCTGACTGTCAAACAAGCATTCGAAACCATAATGAAACAATCCGACAGACGACCCCTAAAGTTGTGGGTTGATAAAGGAAGCGAATTCTACAACAGAAATGTGAAATCTCTAGGGTTTGAAATTTACAGCACGCATAACGAAGGTAAGGCCGTAGTGATAGAAAGATTCAACAGGACTCTTAAAAGCAAATTATTCAAGAAGTTTACGGAACTGAAATCTCAAAAATGGCTTAAAATATTACCAGTTGTTGTCGACGAATACAATAACAAAATACATTCGTCTATAGGTGTGACGCCAACGCAAGCCTCTAATAACCCGAATATCATAAAGTCCGTCAACACTCGAAACAACTTTGAAAACGAGATTAGCAATTTGAATATTGATCGATCAAGACAAAGAACAAATCATAGGAAGGTTTTATCAAAATGAACTTCAAAAAACTGACTTTTAAAAATGAATTTTAAAAAAATTTAGATAAAATTTTTAAAATTTAAATGTTAATTTATCTTCAAAATATTATTGAATGTGTTTTATCAGAATGTTATACAAGTTTTTTCAAACACAAACTACGTATATATTTCGTTAATTGGGTCTTCAGCAATACTTACCGCATACTCCGAAAAACATAACACCCCAAAAAATCAACTTAAAAAAAACTGACTTTTAAAAATGAATGCATTTCTCGATAAATACGGAAAAGACACGACCACAAACTTTCAACTTGTGAAATGGGCCAAGGAATTGAACGTCTCGCCGTTTTATTATTGCATGCGAGATGAAATTGATGAACTGAAATACAAGAAAGGTAAATTTTACGCCATCACAAACATTCACACGTCGGATCAAAAAGGAGTTCATCACTCTGCTCTACACAAAGATTCTTTCGGTCTAGAACCGACAGAAGAGATAACGAAATTGACTAGCTAACCAATTAAATGTTCTACGTTTCAAATTAAAATGCCAGGACAAAAGCTGTGTGGACAGCTGTCGCTTTGGGTTTTATACCGGTGAGTTTTGGAGAAAAGTTTGAAGAAATTATAATAAATTTAACTCAATAAAAATGGCAAACAAGTTTGGATTAGGGTCTTTACCTCTAGAATCTAAAAATCCCATGACGGCGTTTATAAACAAAGCGAAACCTTTTTTCGTGGATCAAATTGGAGACACCTTACAAGGGATATCGATATGAACAATTTCAAAATAACTAATTTAAAGTTTCCAGGTAACGATAACGATGCAGTGAACAAGAAATATTTACTGGATCAAATTCAAATAGATAAGGACCATGGTGAAAATAGAATAACTGACGTGAAAAGATACCTCAGACGAAATATTAAAAATCTTGAACCCAAACTACAACAAGATTTTACGAGTTTGAAACGTCTTATTCAAGTGGATAAAACAAGTCAGTTGCAAAATTTAATATCTAAATAAGACGATAAGATTACGAAGGTAAAAATAGACGTCCAACGTTTAATAGATAACCCAAATGTAAACGAGGATAGATTGAAACGAAAACTAACCGCTTTGGAAAGAAAACTAGGCGAATTGCTAGCAGAACTAGACAAGACCGTGGACAAAACTGAGTTACAAAATTCAGTATCCAAATTGAACGAAGAGAGCGCGAAGCAAAAATCAGATGTTCAAAATATAATTAACAATCTCGCACATCCCATTGACAAAGATACGTTGAAACGACAATTGACTGCTTTGGATACTAAAATCATGGATGAATTAGAAAAAGAAGTGGGTGTGATTAAAAACTTTCTTCAAAATAAATTTCAAGATGATATCAAAAAATATATTAAAGAACAGGTCAATCTTTTGCTATCTAGAATTCATGACGATTTTTTGAGACAAGAGAGAAAGTTGACCAAATTAGAAGCTATTGTCACGGACATGTCGTATTATTTCAATCTTCCATTCGAAAGTGATACTGTCTTCGATAGAAAAGACCAAAGTTATAAATCAAACAAATATGGCTTCAAAGTAGAAATAAAAGTAGCTTCTCGCGTAGATGGAGAACCTAAAACGTATTCGATATCGGCGAAACGGAAGCGTTTACTTTTCGAGGTAGATGTCTGATTGAAAAAGATTTTCCCATGAAGGTTAAAGTCAATAAAATAGTCTTCAAACAAACCGGTAATGCCGTCAAACATCTTTCATTTTTCAATGATGGTAATTTGGAAGAGACTATACGTTTGATTGATAAAGGGGATGATTTATATGAAACGAAAAATGGTAAATATGTAGACACCTTTAAAATGGAAGTAGAAAATGATAAGGATATCATTAGAATCAAAGATTTAGATATGATATTGGAGACGGAAAATCCACCATCAACCAACATTGTCAAAATTCCACCATCACTTATAAAACCCGCACACATACCCGGACCAATAGAATACGTAAAACTGTATTTGTTTACGCTGGAAAATACACCTCGATCGATGTTCAACAAGAAAGAGAGTTTATAGTACATTTATCGTTTGCCAAAGACTCCATTCTTGAAGGTGGTGGTTTTATTTTTAGAGCCAAGATAAACATCGAAAAAGAAAAAATACAATATTCCTATCATCTTAACGAGGACCATACGAAAAAAGAAATGTCGTTAGTACGCGTAAATGTTTTTACTTTTAATGCCCGCAAATATAATAATGGTAGGCCAAACAAGCACGCTCTATATGATATTCCGTGGTTCTTTTTATCGGAAATTCACTTAATTTAACGACTTAAAAAATGGAACTCGAAAGCAGACAACAATACATGATAGACAAACAAGAAGTGTTGAAAATAAAGTTAAGACAGTGCAATGCATGCAGGAAAACATGCTGTAGAATCGATTCTGTTTTCAAAACAGCGAGCACAGTTCTAACGGTAGGAGTAACGGTGGCAACGGCTGTGACTGGTGGATTAATGCTTCCGGTCATCGTCCCAACCGTATTGGCTGCATTAACAGCCGTTCAAACGACCTCTTGCGGTCTCATCACTTTAGGTTTCACAAGCAAAAAGAAAGCTCATTATAAAAAAGAAAACGGATATCTTGAATATGTATCTTAATCAATTGTACATCTTTTTCGAAAGATCGAGAGAAGACAAGAACATAACAGTTGAAGAATTAGAAGAATTCAATGAAATTTTGGACAAATTCCATACAGAAATATCAACGGTCAAAATAAAGAAATAATCAAAAATATATATTTAAAAAAATATGAATAAAATCGAACACGATGAAACATTGATAGAAAATGTCCTATTTTCCGATGTTATCAAGGCTGTTTCCAATAAATTTAAAACATTCCAAGGACAAATTAAAATAGATGGAGGGATAGTCGAGGAAGAGAATCACAGACAAAACATGTCATTCCTCGGTTTCAATGCCAAAACTTTTCACAATTTCTTTTCAAATATGGACAAAAAATCTGATGCTTCCGATTGGTATTTTACAGGAAAAATAATTTCAATGAAAGACAATTTCCAAGAAATAAAAAGATCGAGAGTTGGCAGGGGATGAACTGATCTACTAGATAAATGAATACGAAGGTGAAAATTGTTACATACCTACAGATGGTCACTGTTTTATCAAATGCGTCAATCGTGTTTTGAACAAAGATTTAAAGTGTAAATTTCAAGAATACATCAACGGGTATTCAAAAGCAAATAGAAAAGGAGTGATGACTTGTGCTAGAATGAAGGAATTCAACAAGAAATTTAACACTTCGTTTCAAATTTATAATCCCAAAAACAGACATTTACATCCCAGATACGTACATGATGAATTAGATTGGGTTTTTTACTTAAACAACTCACATTTCTGTCTGATTAGAAGGACCCAAAAAAGTTTGGGAATTCAAGAAATAGAAGACAATTACGAACAGGTGTGGAAAACGTGTAGAGATGATAACGCAGTAACACAGGTTTCACCTCTCAAACTAAACGTGCTTTCAAGTATGAGTGATGATGCGCTATTCTCATGGGATTGCGAAACGTATTCAGAAAAAGACACACGAAGAGCAATTCCTTATGCCTGCACTTTAATTAATTTAGAAAAACTAAGAAAAAGTTAGAAAAAAATATATTTCCTACTGAAGTAGAAATATTTGTAGGTACAGATTGTATAGATCAAATGTTTAAATATTTAGGTCAATATGATAGAAAGAGATTAATATTAATTTCTCATAACGGCAGTGGATTCGACAACTGGATCGTGCTTAAAAATACAAAAGACTAACGCATTGTCCTTTAAAAACACCCAGAGGAATTCTATCTTTTCCTTTATCTAATCCATACACAGATGAAGATTTACAGAAAAAATGGAAAAGACAGAAAGAAATAAAGGGTAATTATTTACAACATATTAATTTCACATGTTCCTATCAACATAAAAAATCTAGTTTGGCTGCATGGGAAAATTCGTCCAATCTTCCCGCGAATTTGAGAAAGATTGCCAACGTAGATATCGCTAAATACACACAAGACAACTGGGAGGAATTGAGACACGAATGGGAACCTTACGCCAAGAGAGACACTCTCTGTTTTGGAGCTTGTTAAAATATAACCAAGTCATGAAAGAAGTTGTAAACCAGAATATGTCCAATAATCTAACGGCTCCATCTTTATCTTTAAAGGGTTGGTATTGTTTATATCATTACGATAAAGAAATGGTTGAAGAAGAATGGTATGAAACTACTAGAATGGTTGCGAAACATACTGAAAAAGAAAATATAGAAAAAGTTTATTCGCACACTAATCCTTTTATAAGAAATTTTATCAGACGATCTATTAAAGGAGGAAGAGTTTCGGCAAATAGAAAATCATTTGAAACGAACAAAATGGATGAAATTTGTAATGTATTAAAGGAATATACAAAACTTGAAAGTAATAACATAATTGATTTATTCAAAGAATACAGCGCAAGCACAAAAGACAAAACGGAGGTTCATTCGAGACTTAAAAAAATAAACTGTACTAAACTAATAGCATTTGATGCTAACGGTTTATACGCTTCAGCAATGTCGGATTTAGACAGTGAATATCCGAGAGCAGAAAGTGGAAGACCGTTTCTACCAGAAGAAGAAAAAGAATTTGTAAAACTCTTCAATAAACAAAAATTTAGACCTAGAACAGCTATTTTAACAGTGTGGTTTGACTATCCCAAAAACATGTTCTTCCAACCGATACCAGCTAAAGATAAAATCACTTTCACGAATAAAGAAGGTAAAAAGGAAACGGGTAACAAAATCAGGTTCAGAAATGGTTTCTGTCACGACGTTTTAACATCGGTTGATATTCAAGAAATAGTGAAAGCCGGTGGACGAATTATTAGAATATTAGATGGTATAGTTTACGACGAAACAGTTAAAAAATAATGAACAATTTCATTCACGTCATAAATGGATTTTATAAACCCGAAATATACTATACCGACACCGATAGTTTGTACATTTCATCCAACAATTGGAAAAAACTAAACAGAGCTGGTTTTGTCTCCGAAAAAGACTATTGCAAAGGTAAAAACGATTATGGTGACGGTGGAATTATATTTGGTTTATATTTAGCACCAAAAGTCAAATACAACATCGTTTTGACTTCTGATGGTGTTTTAAAAGAAAAGAAAACATTTAAAGGTTATTCTAATGATAAGATAAGTGTAGAAGATTACGTTCAGTTAGCAAGCGGACATGATGTGTCGAATGAATTTAAGAAACCATGGGAAAAAAGTTTCAGCAATGGAGTAGTTATTCCAAACGATAAACAAACTAAAGTTTTTAGAAGTTATTTGAATAATGTTAAAAGAAAACCATCAAACAATGAAGGAATTATGTATCCTTACAACGACAAAGATGAGTATAGTTTTGATGAAAACTATGAATTTGATGATTTCGATTATCTTACTATTCAAGAAGAGAATGAAGATTGTTTTAAATTAAGTTGAATGACAATTTCTTCGTTGCCAAAGTCTATGAACCTGTTTTTACCGTCTTTGATTTCCAGATTTATATCTTTGATCATGAAAGAATTGACTGGTAAATAGGTCGTTTGAAACGGTTTCTCTATAATTCTGTATCCGATCGGCACCGTAAAAGTCGGTATGCTGTATATGATTTGGCGTTTGTGCTTGTTGAAAAATCCACCGTTGATCAAATTACAGTGAATGTTGATCACGTCGATGTCGTTCTCGATGTTGGCCTTGCGTGGCGCCAATGTCGATTGCGCGTATATTCGTTTATCGAACCCTAGTAACGCATTCAACGAATTGTCTACGTTGAAATCGGCGTGACTTATTTCTCAAGATCAGTTTCATTTTGTTCAGATTCAAATTACCTTCGAATTCGATATTTTTTTTACCGCTTCCTGCATATTCGGATAGGTAATCGTTGATGGCTACGTATTCGTATGGTTTTGAACGTAACTCCGTTATCCGTCGATATTTTTAGTTGATTGTTGTTTTCGTTGATATTTCTAATGGAATTGTAAACGGAGAAATACTTTAATCCCAGTTTGTACTGTTTATTGCGACCGAGTTCATACTCGTAGTCTAGAGACAATTTGATGTCTGATTTATTCGAGGTGATAACGAACAATTGCTCTTTATTGGACATTTTTAATGACGTTAATATAGTGTTTTTTAGTGATGATTTTTTTCTCCAAAAGTCGTTTTAATATGCCATTGACTTCGTTGTATTGTCTGTCCGATCCATGACCTTCCTAATATTGGCCGCTAATATTAATCTATTAACTAGTTCCTCGTTGTTATCTGGTAAAAAAGTTATACCTTGTCCAGATGCCACCATATCATCGAACTCGTCTATTTCTTGCATGATTGGATAATCTTCTGCATAATCATCTACATCCTCTTCCTCAATTGTTATATATAAATCAACTTCTTTCAATCTTCTTGTTTCGGGTCCTGACTTTCTGATCGCATGTAGAAATTTTGAGTATGCTACTAAATCCTACTAAATCGGCAATTTCAACATTCTCGCCATTCATTAAATCTATTAATCCTCTCGTTAATGTAAATATAAAGTCTTTTGTGTCGATTTTGAATTGTGGTGAATTTCCACTAAATCTTATTCTAAAACCATTAAACAAACCCTCATCATCAACGATTGGTGAAATGCTCTTTCGTAAATCTGGGTCAGGGTTTGAAAAAAGACGTTTTATATCTATCGTCTTAATACCACCATATTCAATCGGTTTGGGTTGATGAGTTTCTATATGAGGTGTGGGTTCTAATTTCTTTTTAATATCCTCTTGAGATTTTAATATTGGTTGAAATAGAGTCTGTAGATTTTCCGTTAATCCGAGTTGTTGTAATCTGTTATTTTCAACTTGGGTCTTTATTTTATTCTTAGCTTTGATATATTCTCTATTTCTTTTTAAAATATTATTCCGTCATTTTTAAAAAAAATAAAATTAACATATGTCGATCATAACTCTTTCTCCCGCAGGTTTTCTAGTATTTACAAATACATATCCATGATCATCTGGGTTTCTCCATTGAGCTTTACAAACCTTTTTAAACTTGTCTCTGTCCATTCCGTGATTTATCGACTGAATGATTTGAGATAAATCTTTGTCGTTTAATTTGAATAATAAAAAACAATTTGCGTTCTTTCTGATAAACATGGCGTCCATTCCGTAGAAAGATTGGAATTGGTATATGCAGTGACAGTTGTGATGTCTTCCTTTCGTGAAGAATTCTTGTTGAACGGTTTGACTTTTTTGTGCCACGCAGTCGTCAAAACAATCAAGTTCTTTCGGTGGTTGTCGATTTTAGACACGTCTAAATTGTTGACGTTTTTAGTCAGAAACACTTTGACGTCGGTCGGTTTCAGAGAAGGATTCTTTTCTTTGATAAAGCCGTCTAAAATGTCTTTTATTTCCGCGTTCTCTTGCAAGTCTTCGTTGCTTTCGTAGTAGTGAAAAATGTCCTGAACGTCTTCTTTCGAGACGTATTCCAAAGCTTTGAGAAACTGATAATAGGATTGTTCGGGAGTAGTCGTGTAAATATACAGAGACTCGAAATCTAAAAGGTTCGGTGTTGTCAACATGTTAAAAGTGAGGTAAGTCTTTAAACAACCTGAAGATCCGCAAATGCACATGAGCATGGGGTTGCTAGGAAATATGTCCGAATGTTTGAATTTCTTGCCCATTTTTATTTATTACATTTTCGTACCAAAAATCACCCCGTTGCTTTTATACTTTGAAAGAAAGATTCCCTAGCCCGAACGTATGTTTTTAAAAAATATGGCGTTGCCCTTGTGTTTGACTTTTATTTCTCCGGTGTCGATATTATCTGTTAATTTGCTTAATCCCTCTTAAACGGTTTTCTTGGTTTCTTCACCAAGTCTTTGTCCGAATTCTTTAACCGTCCCTAATATATCTCCTACTCCCGAACCTCCTCGTGCTTCTCTTTCCATTGCCAAATTGTGTCTACGTGCTTCGGCGTTTGCAGCGGCTTCAGCTTTCTTATCGTTGACAGCTTTGGCTATCCCAGCAGCTCAACCAGCAGTTGCTCCTGCTGCAGCTAAACCAGCTAAAAGGTAAGAAAGGTAAAAATCTACCTTTTTTTAGTTAAATTCTGATCAATTCTTTCCAAGTCTATATCGTCTCTGACTTTGCAATGTTTGTATTTATCGATAATCTTTTCGGTTATGTGCACTTTTTTACTGTTGTAAGTTATTCGAGTCGGCGAATTCGTTTCGATAGCTTCTATTATTTTCATAACTAAAGTTTCTGGTTTCATTTTTTAAGGGTGTTTTTTTATTCAATTCTTATCATTCTTCTATCTGATATTTTAATCAAATGTTTTGCTTCTTCCAACAATAAACAGTAGCCGGTCACATCTCCTTGTGTTCTTTCAATGTGAATATTTATGTTTACCCCTGTTTTGAAAAGATCTTTTTGATGAGCTGACAGATCGAAACAAAAGATTGGATGATTGAGTGAAAAATCTGTGTATTCAAACTGAGGAGTATTTCCAAACAATTCGCACATGTTTTTTATAGTTTCTGTACAATTCGTTGTAATCTTTTTTGGAAGGATCAATTGTCAAAGGTTGATTGGGATAATTATCGTTGTTCAATCTGACTTGAACTTTGCGAATGATGGGATCTTGAGTATGGTTCAATGCCACTCTGAAAATGTTGTTGTTGTTTGTCTGAGAGTCTGGCAAGTTTTTGAAACCGACCATTAGATATCTCGCTGGTTTGACGGTGTTGGTGATTGGCCACGTGGTGGATTCTCCCGTTAAAGTCATTCTACCTACCGTGTTACGACGAAGAAAAGCAATTTCGATGTCTTTGGTTAAAGAGTTGAATATTCTCGTTTCCACTTCTACGGAAGGAGTGATTACCGGTATGTAAAGTTGGATATTCGTTATTTCCAATTTTGCGTCTTTGCGTTTTCACCAAAGAATATCTTGTTGTCGTTGATTTCTCTTTGCAAATGAATTTTATACGGCAAACCTATGGAAACCTTTCTGTGTTCCAAGAGACCAACTAAAGGATACAACTTCCAATTTATGTAATTACCATAACTGTTGTTCTCGACAACATTGTTGTATTGAAGCGCTCGTTTTTCAAATCCGTGATTTACTCAACGAGACACTCTTTCCAATGTGTTTCTAGCAACTACCCTTATCCTAGCAAGGTCTGCGCCATTTGCTACAGTTCTGACCGGTTCTTTTAAAACTTCTCGTCACCGACATCGGGAATCCATCCCGAAACTGAATCGTAGTTTTTGGGATACAGAACCGTTTTCAACATTGTGTCAAACTCGCCGGGGTGTTTTATGGTCTCTATCGGATTTGAACCAGCTTCCAAAACCATTTCGCTGAATAAAGACTGAAAGAAATTGTTTTCTAAAGTCGTGATGGTTTGTGGAATTCGATTCTGAGTGGCGTCTTTGATTTTGAAATCGCATCGGAAATGGGCATCGGAAAGCAGCAACCAATAGGACAACGAATTAATTTCAAAGGTAACTCTTCCACCGTCGTTTATTTGGGTCTTTGTCCCTACCGATGGTGAGATGATTACGTAATCCTCTTTCTTTTTGTTGAACGAATATTGAATCGGATCATACAATTGAAAGATTGGATCCAATCTGTAATTTTACTTGCCATTTTTATCCAATGATTTTAAACCCTTTTCCTTGTTTTTCTAGGGCTTGTCGTTCTAGTCTCTTGTTTCTTAGTTCTCTTATTAGCTGCAGTTCTTTAAGTTCGTCAGATTTTTTCACTTCATCGCTTATATTTACTCCTGCTTTTGCCACAGAACCAAGAGCTTGCGCTTCTGAGGAAATGAGGGATTTGTTGTTTGAGACAAAGTTGGCCACTTTGGGGATGAGAGATGTTAGCGCAGAAAAGAAACCGTCTCCTTCGAATTTTTTTTGTTTGTGTTTTCAAATTAAAGACATCTTACTTTTTAATGCGGTTTTTTTTATACCGTATTATTTTAGTGAATCTTGTGTGGTTGGGTAATTTATATGGAGTCTGTTATAATACATTTTAGCAGTTTGAGGAGTCTGTTATAATACATTTTTAACAGTTTGGGGAGTCTGATATAATACATTTTAGCAGTTTGGGAGAGTCTGTTATAATACATTTTAACAGTTTGGGGAGTCTGTTATAATACATTTTAGCAGTTTGGGGAGTCTGTTATAATACATTTTAACAGTTTGGGGAGTCTGTTATAATACATTTTAACAGTTTGGGGAGTCTGTTATAATACATTTTAGCAGTTGTGTCTTTTCGGATATGACGCATTGAAAAAGCTGCGCATGCGCAGAAGTGAAATGCGTCATATCCGAAAAGACATATACTACTAATGGTCTGTACTATGAAGACTGGACCAACTGTATTGTCATTCCTATCCCTAAGAAAGGAAATTCCAACGATGTTAGTAATTATAGAAGTATCACCCTAATCCCAGTAATGACTAAGATATTCTCCATTATAATTAATAAACGACTTTTTACTTGGGCAAACTATAACAATATACTTATTCAAAATCAATTCGGTTTTCAGACTAAAAAAGTACTGTTGATTGTATATTCGTTTTATATTCGATCATTAACAAAACTAATGAAAATGGGAAGAAATTTTTCTGCTGTTTTGTTGACTACTCAAAATCTTTTGATAAAATCAACAGGGCACTGCTTATATCAAAGCTACATAAAATCGGTATTAGTACTAAAATGTTAACTTGTATTAAATCTATGTATGATCATGTCAACTTATATGTAAGGTCTAATGTTGCTTATTCTGACATATTTCCTCACAACTTTGAGTAAACCAGGGAGACAATTTGTCTCCACTTCTCTTCTCGACAATATGATTTTAACATCCCTGATATATGCTGATGATACTACACTCATGTCAACTTCCCCACAAGGGTTGCAACATTTATTAAATAGATTATATTTGTATTGCCAAATTATTTAGGTGTAGAATTCACCCTTAATTGTAATTTTAATTTATGTCAAAAACATATATCTGTAAAAGCCTCCAAAGCAGCCTATCAGTTACAATATGTTTTTGATCATTATTACTTAGATGTGAAACAGCAATTGTCTATCTTTGATTGTTATATAGGGTCTATTTTATGCTTGTCCTGTATGGGGATTCCATAGCTCACCAGATATTGAGTAAGTTCACTTACGTTTTTGCAAATCAATTTTAAGTGTTAAGAATACGATAAGTACTCCAATAATATACAGTGAGCTTGGGAGAACTACCATGTAAAATATCCTTAAAATACTGGATAAAAATTATATCTGACGCATCTTCATTACCATATTTGGCCTATACTGAACTTGGCGAATTAAACCAAAAAAATAAACATAATTGGGCTCATAATGTAAAATCTATATTAGACAAGCTTGGCCTAAGTGAATACTGGTATAATCAACTCGTTTACTTACCAAATTACAATCATTTGAAACAATGATCAGTTTCTCCAAGAATGGAATGAAGATCGTTTCCAGTACGAAAAACTACATTATTTAAGGAATGAATGTGGATCTAATTATCGTCTTGATAACAAGATCCACATTCATTCCTTATATTTACATTGGTTTATCTTTTGTGATAAAATACGCTAAAATGTTCTATTTTTTAATTGTAAAAATATCCGAAACCGTTGTTGCACCGATATCTGTCAATCAAGTTCACCGACCCGCCCCTAACAATATAGTTCTATAAATCAACAGTCTTATTTGGATGATAGAAGTATCAAATATTTATTATTCCATTGAAATATTAACAACAATTGTAAATTTAAATAAATTGTAAAATTAGATTTGGCTCTAGGTAAAAAAACTTGGGTCAATCCTTGTTTTCGTTTTCGATGTATTCATACGCCTTATTGTCACGTGACAAACTACAGTTATTGGAAAATAAACGCCGGTTTGGCTAACTGGTTTATTGAAGGGAGTGATAGTAGAAATGTAAATATTATAACATTATCTGCTATTCAAACTCGTTTAAACCATATTTGTATGAAATAACTAACAAGAAACATCGGGCTGCATTAACCGGGCTAAGATGTGGATAGCATAACCTATGAATCGAAACTGGACGATACAAACCTATATTACCTAGAAATGAACGTAAATGTTTATTATGCTACTTTGGTGAAATAGAAGATAAATTCTATTTCTTATTATGTTGTCCTTTTTATAATGAATATCGAAGCACTAATTTACCTGATTGTTACGTCAACACATATCCATGTATAGAAAAATTTATAAACCTGCTCAATACTGAAAATCGAAAATTACTGAAAAAATTGGTATATTTTGTATATTTAGCTTTTATAAAACGTAAAACCCACCTTCAAAACACATAATTTCATATCCATTATTTTGTAATTATTATGAATCATTATTTCATTTATAGTTTATGTTACATTTTCTTTTTTTATTACAATTTTCTTATCCTTGCACCATGTTACAGTCACCTATTTATTTATGTAGCTATTTAATATGTACAAGCTAAAAGTATGTATGTACTTAATGCTAATAAACATTATTATTATTATTAGAAAACTGACATGTAGTTGATGTCAGAAATTCAGAGACAGTAAGCTCACGACATAACATCATTTTATATCTATTTATTTTATATCTAAATTTATAAACCATCAATTAATTCAAATGTTTTTTACTTTCAGTTGAATATTTTAGAAAGAATATTTCAAGAAAATCATTATCCAGACAGTTATGTTTTTGATCAACTTTGTGATACACTAAATCTAGATATAGAAAAATTAGCTGTAAGTAGAATATAGATTATTTTATACAGATTTTAACTTCTATACAATATCTGACTTCTATCATTATAAATTAACATTAAACACCTCATATCATTATTCATGATTCTAATTTCTTCATTACAGACTTGGTTTCAGAACAGAAGATGTAAAGAAAAACGTCTAAATAAATAGAACCATGTTGATGAATTGAGAAAAGAATTATTTTATCCTAGATTTAACAGAAATAATCAAGAATCGGACTTCTGTAAAGAAAAATGTCAATATCCTGATTCTATAAGGAAAGGAATGAACCATTGTGATTTACAGAAACCGGTACCTATTTCTCCACTACAGGACAACCTATATGATAATTCTATTAACAGTTTATATAATACCAGTCACTTGTCATAATTATCGTGATTTTTATGTTAATTTCGATCTTAATATGCATGTAAACATTTATATGTAGGGGAATCTAAAAATAATTTACGAACTCGTTTTATTGTCCACAGATCAGATATCAAGCTAAAGACAGACAAGCCCGTTTCTAATCATTTCAACGACCATTCATCAGACTATCTTATCCTAACCCGCATTAAGCGCTTAGTAATTGACCTTTCAGAAGACGAAACTACAAAATTCCGTCAAGCTAGGGAAACCCAAGAGATGATGCTTAATACAGCAAGACCGATAGGATTGAATATTCATCATAATTCAGGCATAGCACCCTTTATTGTCTCTTTCAATACCACCAGCAATTAAGAAAGAAAGACAATCAATGCACATTATTAGAGTCTGCAAATAAATCCCTCCATGTGTACAAACAAAAGATGATTGTCGCAAAATTAAAACCTTGTTCATAGCAAACTAAAGCCCATATCAGTATGTAACAGTCTAACCTCTCGCCTATTGGGCGAGTATTACGTTATCTAATTTCAGATCAGAACAAAAGAAAAATACCAAACAGTTCCAGACCGCTTATTCCTTTTTTCTTAATGAGGTATTTGTTCCCCATCCTATGCCAATATTTTCAGAATAGGTACTTCAAATATTTTCAACCTTTTTCTATAATGGCACGTTTTTTTTTAGCTAAAAATAGCTTAATAGAACTTAATAGAAAAGTTCGGACTTAAATGATTAATAGACTTTCTAATCTTATCTATTTCATAATCAAGCTATTTCTTGGCTGATTTCAATTTTAAAAACTCAGATCCTGCACCTTAATGGATTTTTCCCATGCACTACGACGCTTTCATGGAACTTGCTAAGATTCAGCCTTTTCAGCAGGTTACTATGTCCTTCAAAATGGGGATGATTAAAAGAGACCATTGACATACTGTCTGGGCTATATTCTAAATTATTTTTATTAAAAGCTCCCTGGGTCTGATTAAATGAGAATGCAACACAACTTTGTAAGATTATATGTCATGTTTTACCCACACTGCGGCTACCCTTGTCATGATACTACTACAATTCTAATGATAATTTTTACTATAATAACTCAAATGATAATATTGTAGCCTACCCGACTGCATTATGGTACCACGTATTCCACCGTGTGAATCGTGGAGTTGATGCATTAAACTGCAAATATGCTATTTTCCTGCTTTTGTGTTGTTTCCTTAAATTGAATAACTTCAGTTTATTGTATGAAAATCAAGTTTCTATAACAATAAAAAGCATATGTAATTATTTTATGCAGTATTTCAGATCTGCAATAAAATAGTGTTTTCTCCCTTGAATAAAATAATCGAATACTAACGAATACATACATCAAGTTTTCTTCGACGAAAAAGCCCAATCACATTTGTGAGCTGCAGAAATGTGGCGATGACCTATTATCAAGTTTGCATTTGATCTAATTTAAGATAAAAAAAGAGTAGGCTATGTTAAAATGCATTTAAACCATCAAATTAATTTTATGTTTGGCATTCTCTTCTGAAAACCGTTTATATATCTGACAATAGAAGAAATAGAAGTGAATTCTGTAGCAAAAAAAAAATCGTTTTTACTTTTATCAATGAAGCAAGTCAGAAGATTTGGCAGAATTGATATAAAATCCCAACCGTCCCAATAGAAAATAAAAACAACGTGCGAATTTTCGATAATGCTGATAATAACATACATGTTGAAAATAAATTTTCACAGAACATACCACAGCTACTGAATTGAAAGATAATTGGTTATATCAACATCAAAATAAAAGAAACGAATGAATAACCCGTGTTCTATTTTATGATGGTCCCATGATATAGTCAATCCCTATTTGCATTGCCTGTCAGTTGGTGCTGTTGAGATTTTAATGCCGCTGTTATTGTAAAGATTTCCTTATAACACACTGGATGACGTTTCCCGTTTTCATTTCATGATCTGTTGATCACATAATATCAGTGGAGCTCTAATGTGGGTACTTATGTTTTGGTTAGTATTGTAGGTTAATGCCAGTTCTTTTTGGCATTTAGTAACTGGGGTATGATTAACTGGACACAATTATGTTATCCATATAATTGTGTCCAGTTATTCAATGTAATATAATAATTATATTTACATATATAGGTTAATATATTTTGAATGAGCCTTTGGGTCAATACAGGCATTTATTTAGGATAACTTGTCGCACAGTGGCGTTTCTACGGAGGAGGGGGTTATTCAAGAGCAACACAATTTGAATAACAAGGTTCATAACTCACAGAAAATATACCAGGGACATGGGGATTATTCACGTAAGATATGTTTCATACACAGACACACCTGAGAACAAATTGATAAGCAGGTAGTAGAATAATAGAGATACTAAATAATCTGTTTAATTTTTAAGTTACGCTGATGACTACTGGCTATGTGAATTTAGACTTATTTGACATGCAATTTAGTCAGATGAGTATACTGAAAGTGTGTCGACGACGTGTTAATGTCACCGTTTTCATCCCGGCACTATATATTACCTTTTAAACCATGTTAATGTCTGTCTCATAAAGAACAGAGTTGTCTTTTGTGTAGGGTATTTGAAGTAGCAGGAAACGACCTTGAATAATGTATATCATCTGACTGGATGAACAATGAGAAGAAGGGCGAAACCAAACTAACTAATCAAACAAACTGTATATTTGTGAAATATATGTTTGTTAACCTCTTTTTCTTGGATAAATATACCTGATTATTGAAATATTGTACTTTAAAACTGCGAATGTAAACAGAAAATTATTTTTCATATTATGATATTATATTTGCAAAAGGGTGGACCTCAGTAACCAATATTAGTACAATACTAACTCTATAATTTTTCACATTGGTTTTTTAAAAGGTGGGCGACTCTATGTAGTCATCCCTGGCATTGTTATGATCTTCATAATTTGAAGAAGAACCTAACCATAGGTATATTTGTTTTAGGGTATGTCTGAAACTTCAAATAAAGGGTGAATTTTTTTTTGCGAATTCACCCTCGAGCAAGGCGAATACGATTAAAAGAGAATTGTTGAGATCTCAAACTGTACCAGGTCTATAACATAACAATGGGTCCATATCCTCGTGTCATTTGTGTAAGGGCAGCTGTGTAAAAATGTTTCACAAAGATTGGTTTCACATACAGGACGTCTATTATTTTATAACACTGAGAAATCAATCTGTTATAGTAATTGATACTTTCTGACTTAAATCGTGACGATTCTGTGATATAATCACTAACCCCAATGAAATTGCAAATCGACTACATTGCCCTTGACTTTAACGATGAAAAATAACAAATATTTCAAATGAATATTGGAATATCCTAAATTTATTTTTACATGGGTTATATTCGATTTCATTTGAGCCGACTCTTTTCGTCACATCTCACTGCTGTTGAGTAAGTACGCTCATTTTAGTCATGAAGTCTTGTATTGGAAACTTAATCCAATTTTCACAACAAATTGGCAATTTATGTAAATTATCTAGTTGATAGCAATTTGATTCGGTTCACTGACACCAATAAACTCCAGAAACTATCTGTTAAAAACCCTTGGAAAATACAGCTTTCATCAACATAAGTCAATTTTTATTTTTTACACGTTACAGGCCCTCGTTTCTGACAAAATAAAAGATCGGGCAAATCAATTATTTTGTTCAAGAAACGGGCTCCATGTTTTTTGCAGTACATACAATCCAAATCGTCTTTTCATCTCTTGACAATTATTCACACAGGTGAATGACGCAGTCAAAATTTTATTGACAAATTTTCAATAACTGTCTGGCTCAAGAAATGCGCATATTGGCATTGTCTCATAGCGCTATTCTCAGTCTGTAACAGTTGTCTATTGTGCATACTGTTGTGAACTGAACCGACACGTTTTCACCAAACCCTGATCTTGTCCAAGTTTTATTGATATGTACTACGATATACAATATTGTAACACTGCTTATACAATATAATTCGTTCTGACCACTGATTTGCATATACACACAGTTAATGTTGACAAGAGAATGAGGCAAATAAATATTTCAAATTAATGTACACGTACCAAGTCGGCTATGTTGACTCTCTGAAAAGATCACCGAGTTGACAACCCAGTGAAAGAATGCAACAAAGTAGTGTGAGCTGTCTTGTCTTACATTGACCATCAATATCTACATCAACATTAATCTTTAATATCACTAGAATTTGTGCATTTCGTATGTTTTTAGAGTCTGGCTGACATCTGAAACGTTGAAAGTATTAATATTTACTCGTCGTTCAATATCTATTGTAAATATTTGTAAGACTTCAGTTTTTTTAACAGTTTTTATTATGACCCCAAGTAATAGCCACATTGAAGACAAGATGGATTTTCTTCGAGAAATTAGTTAAACCCACATTAAGTAGAAATTTAAGTGATCTTGACGACTTTTGGTTGAGTGAAGAGGAATGAAATTCGGTCGCGGATGTTTAAACTGATGTTTCTCCAAAACTCAGACCTGTTAACAAGACAAATTGTCCCTTTCGAAAGCCCTACATTACAATAATTGACATTAAGGAACCTACTCTGAGTACTCTTGTAAAAACGTATTGGGGTATATAAAGGACTTCTTGGTTTCTAATTTGAAAAGCTTAGAAATGATTTGTAAATCAATCTTGTGCCTTCTGGCTTTTGGAATATCGCTTTTAAGCGCCCAGTGTAAGACGGTTTGCTTAAACATATAAATGTAGATATTAAACCTGGCATGTCGTATTATTAAAAATCTAAAATAACCCCTTTTTGACAAATTTGTACAATGTTAATGTTTTGACAATTGATCGATTTTTTTCTGACTTAATTCTGTTGTTTATTTCAGTATGCCCCTTAGTTTTACCTGAGGGAGAATGCGTTTCAAATTCCAGCCCATGTCCTATGGGCAAAATTCAGAGTGACACTTTTAATTGTGGATCTTCAACACTTCAGTGCTGCTATACTCGTAAGTTAATTTAATTTTTTAGAACATTACGTACACAATGATTGCTAATTTCTCCATTGATTGATTCAGAATTTAAAAAGAATTTAAAAAGAAATTTATTTAAAAATAATATAACAATTTTGTTGGTCAATATTTAAATTAAAATCAAGCTGAATCGAACAGTTTGGAGACATGGACTAGTTCTACCTGTGAATGACTTACATATCATGGTGCCCACAAGTTATTAATAATCACATTTTATCTCTTAGCTGCACCGGAAGATCTACCCGAGCCACCTTGTGGATCGAGAAGTCCAATAAGTAGAATATTTAATGGTAAAGACGTTTTAAATGCATGCAAATGGCCGTGGGCAGTTCAAATCAGAACTAGACTTAGCGGAAACAACGACCCACCGGGATTAAGCAATACCTACCAATCATGTAATGGCGTTCTTGTTCGACCAGACATCGTTCTGACAAGTGCCTGTTGCATTCAGACGTAAGTACAAAAGATCATTAAACTTTACATTATTTTTAATTTAACCCATGATAACAACAGAAACTCGTTTATCCGTTTCCCATATAGTCGCAGACAGGTTGTCTCAATGGCAAATATCTCTTCTCATTTTCAGGAATAGTGTTGTTTATAGGTGGTATTTATGTTTACCTAATACATCAGATTGAAACTGGTGACACGTAATATATTTATCATGATATGTGTTTATAATTCAGTTAATCCCTGATCACAACTTATCCATTGAATTGAAATTTGTTTTAGTGCCTCACTTTTAAACGGAAATCGACCTGCAAACGAATCCTTACTGGTCATAGCTGGAGATTATAATGTCGATGAATTTGATTTTCAAGGCACAAGTTTGAGAGAGAAATTTGTAACAGTAAATAAAGCATATATTCACCCTGGAAATTTTAAAAAGGACGTAACAACATTTAATATTAGCGATTTATATGATGATTTAAGAGCAGGTAACTACTATAATGAATGCTGATTTCATAATTTCTTTTCATCGTTGCGTGGATGGATTCGGAAATTAGAAAGGAATAGAGTTTTACTCATGTGTGGTCTTTAAAGCTCTGGGATGATGAAAAGGGGAATTGCTTTCAAACGGGCAACAACATTAGTCTAATAATTTTCCATATCGAACTGTCGAATCATGTAACAGACAGAATGTGTTCCATGTCAGACCACAAATCAGGGGATTTGAACATTCATCTATACCGCGTGTAAAGATTGTTCTTTAGTAATCTCAATGATACACGTTTGTTAGGGATTAAATAAAGAAAATATATATATATATATATTCATTTTACAAAAACAAGGTGTGGCTCATAATGTTAATACATTGTATATTTTTTTAACAAGATTATAACATTGGTGTGTTGAAACTAGAGTATCCCGTTGATCTTGGCGATTGTATAGAATTAGCTTGCTTACCATCAATGGATGACATTACAAACCTTTCACCGAATGAGTTGTATAGCTTACCATGTCATATAGCTTCCTGGGGACGTCACAGTACCTCAGTTGGTGAGTACTTTTTATACGCCCACATAAAATGTTAGGCGTCCGTCCGTCCGTCGGTCGGTCCGTCCACTGTTGCTCGTAAACACTTTGATTTATTGATTTTGACAATACTTGGTGAAATTATTTATTTTCTTCAAAGAATAAGGATAAATCCTATTGAAAATAAAAAAAATTAGAACAATATTTGATTAAGCTATTGTCATTGTTCTTAAAAACACGTTGAATGTTTAGCTCGTAAACAATCTGGAAGGCACAGTTTGTTTGTTATCACCCATGAATTAAACCTGTGGAAATCAATAAAATGAAAAAACGCCAATGGGCGTATATTACCAAGTTTGAACAGGATGGTAAACAGGTAGCTAAAAATATTCATCTTGTCATGTTCATTTGTTTCCTTATGTTTCTATAATTATATTTAAAGGGACAAGAATGCCATATTTTGACCAATCATACTTTAGTCTCTCAAGATGGATTTTTAAAGGAATTATGTGAATTTCGTACATTTCTAGTATTTTTGAAGACTATTTACAAATATTCAACACTAAAATCACCCCGCCCCCCAAAACAAAAATGTCACATCTGTCCCTTTAACACTATATATATTACGTAACATAATTATATAACACTATAAACTAGGTATTTGATTATACCGACCTATTCTTGTGTAACGTTCAAAGGCAGGGACGAGTATGACGCCAGACTGACTATGCTTATTTTTCTAGGCATAATACCTTCTCACTTACTATTGATAATACCCGACATATAAAGTTCATTAGCTGATACCAATGTGGTTTTTTCCAAACTGTTATTTTGGATTTGGGATCGTTAGTACTTGGGGTTTATTTGAATTATTATTTTTCAGATAACTCTGTCATACTTAGAGACGCTCCATTCAACATCTACCCTGAACCTATTTGTAATCTTATTGACCCATCTTTCCGTTCTGGATCAACATGTGGACGAACAGTTCAAGGCAGTATGCAGGGGGTTTGTTCGGTATGTAACTTGAGGTTTTTCTTTTTCGTCATGTCAAACTCTTCAACTGACTTAAATTTGCATTATTCTAGAATTGTACTATATCCAAATTAACATTGTTTTCCGTATGACTGTTACCCTGTCTGGATCTTTACCGAATTCAATTAATCTTTAGAGTTTCCCAATAATTTGCCAATTGTTAGGAACTTGAGAGCCAACTGTCAAGGTTAGTGCCTGGTTTTTACTTAAATTCTATTTACCGTATGATTTTTTGGGTTCAGGATAAAAAAAAAGTATCATATTTTCAGGGAGATGATGGAGGTATGGTTATTTGTGAAGATCCAAATACAAATAAATACAAGTTGTTCGGCATGATTAACTTCTGCAAAACGGAGGGATGTATAGCGCCAGTTGGTAATGAACTGGTTCCAATCTCTAATCTAAGAGAACAAAGTACAATGTCTTGGATCAATGACATTATTCAAGGAAATGTTTAATCGCCCCATTCGTTAAATGTCAGTTGTGCATTTTATCGAATAAAAGCTTTCATAGTTACAGGTTTTATTATTCAAATTACTGTTATTCCGTGTATCGAGACGAGTCTCAATGAAAACTGGCCTAGGACACAGAGCAATAGATAAGCAGAGTCATTCGCAATTGGTCTATTAGTATGTACTATACCATACCAATACCATTGAATTGCGTTCGGAGCGCGTTTTGAGTCTCGCCAACACATTGTACATCGCATCTTTTACAAGAAAAGTAGTTCATTTATGGCAAGGTACCATCTGTAACTAAACAGAGAAAAGGATGACATACAAATTCATTCATTTCATTTCATTTTGTAACTAAGTAGAGATATAAGCTAGGGGGACTATGGGACTATACTCGCCCAATGCAAAATTCGAACAAATTCTCAACTGAAGTTGAAATCAGTCTCCATCAGCTTTTGTCCCCCATGCAAATGCGGCCGCCCCCTTGGCACATGAGCTGCGTCTTCCATGATGTTATAGACCTTGTTTTTATGAACAAAAGGAGAATCTAGGTGTTGTCGCGTCTTCTTGGGCGAGACTGTTTACTGTTGGTATTGAACGGTGATTTGTCAAGTATTAGTAATGTTGCTACCTGAATATAATTCATAAATTGGGAGCCTTTGGGAGATAAACCAAACACTTCCATATACACGTAAGCCCAATAAAGTATTATCCGACAAAAATGGCAAAGCATGTAAACTGACGTGAGTACTTCCATATGTGAGATGCAATTTATCATTTTAAAGGCGATAAACCGAATCGCCCAATGTAGCAATAACGGAAACTTAGTATGGGATGGGGGATTCTAGAATATGACTGTTCTCTGGTCAACCTGAAGAATTGTTAGGATTTTTATCCATCCTATTGCAGCTCCTTTACCAGTATATGGTATGGTTTTTTTAAAGTATGTCATGAACCAGCCAGTGGTGTTTTCTTTGCGCATTACGTTTTTTTTTTCAATTGTATGAATCAATATGCAACAGCAATTATTAAGAGACCATGTTGCTTCCTTTCCAACTAAAAATACTATTTGGACTGATTCGACAAATTCTTCGGTATTCGCTTAAAAACATGCGTTTAAACGTTTGTCTTTTGAAGCTAAAGGCTTGTATGATCCATACACCCACGATCAATTACATTCCTTAACACGTCTGTAATGTATATTGATTCTTGCTGGATCAGGTGTTTTCGATACTATGAAGCGAATGAAACATGGAACTCGGGCAATTGTATTTACATATTATTAATTCGGATGGGTTGAAAAATCTTTACCATTTAACAAACATAAAAACAGCAATAAATAATGCATAGAATAACTTTAGTCAAAAATTCAACCTGAGCTCTGATTAAAAAGTTCTTAGAGGGTGTCAGCTATACTTTTTACCCATGACCATACGTTTGAGTTCTTTAGGTCTGTAATAGATACAAAGTTATTTGTAGCTGGTGAACACTGCTCATAATTGGGAAAGTTTATAAGTCCATGTAAAATCCATACATTGGTTGACGGATCTTGACACATTACCATGCCACCATCATCACCCTACAGAAGAATAATACACACATAAATCAACCTTATACTTAGAATAATACCATATTTCTAATGTTAAAATACTGCTCAAAACACCAATTGTAGTGCATTACAGATATATTAAAACAGAACTTGAATCATAATCAAGAACATGATTCGTGTTCTCTTTTAATATTTCAGAGTGTATAATCAAAATAAAATGATTTGTAATTTTCCAATTGATACTCTAGTCAGTTCCATTCTGTTTCTTACATAGGGTAGTCTGACGAAAAGAAGAGAACGTATTTGTATTCAGCCGCAAATTGATACTGCTGCATTTGACAAAAAAATGTGTAGACAGCTATATCCCTTCCAATTTATGCATGATTATCATTGTTGCAAAAAAGAAATGTCTTACATTACAAACACCTGTAGCGAGACCTGGATCGAGTCTTCCACAAGTGGTACCAGATGAGCTACTTCCTAGCAGAAAGAAACATTGGCTTGGTGGATATAAAGTTATATTTGTTTCTCGCAGATAATCCGATTCACCTAAAATGCAAAACACATTTAGAAAAAAAAAGAAAAGAAAACGCAACCTAAAACAAAATTAAAAATATGTTCTAGTAAAGTTTTCAGCTCTGCTGTCCTCGAACATTTGAAACATGATTATAACTTTTAAATAAAGATTTCTTATTGATCACTTTGAAAAGATCAAATAAATATCTCTAAGTTTGGTCAGGTTGGTATTTTCAAAACAAATTAAAAGGATTTACAAGAGTGTTCATTCAAATATTGCTCACGCTTCATCCAGGAGTATCTTACCTAATGAAGAATCAAATGCTCCCCAAGATGCCACGTAACAGTTCTGATAATATGTTGGGTTGTTAACATCCTCTGCTGATGGTAAACATGCTAATTCACGACAATTACCCAAGGAAACGTTGTTTGCAAGCTCCAAAACGGCAATATTATAGGCTAAAACAAACGACGTCAATAAATAAATAAATAAGCCAGCCAACAAACCCAAATCATACTATCCGCCATATGAGTATAGATTATGCATAATGGCTGAAATGCAAATGGTGACAAAAATATGACCTGAAAGGGATGATTATGAAATTGCAGTTAATATCTAAATAATAGACCATTTTGTCTTGTCTATTGGTTTTTCTAGAAAACAATGTTACAAGCCATCTTATGCCGGGCGTCCACTTGAAAGTTTTATAGCACGAGTTCGCTCTCCGAGAATAACTCGCGAGCACTTTGTGAGCCACTGTTGGACAGTCGCAACCAACTCTTGATAGAACTGCTTAGAGCGATTTCTCTCAAGTGGAAGGTGGTCTCCTATAAAATGTCAGGCATTCGAACCCAGCTGTTGATTGAACTGCGGCGAGTGATTTTCTGTCAAATGGAGGGGGTCTGCTACAAACTGTCGAATACTGATTTCTGTTTGAGAGTGCTCTATTTCTGCGAGAACTGTCAGCTTTTTATTAACAGGCCTATCATATTTTTCACAACACCTGGAGCCTGAAATATGTCGAAACGTACGGAATGGATGCGTGAAGAGATTGAGCGCCTCATCACATAATATGAAACTCGTCCTGTGCTTTGGGATGTTCAATCGGCTGAGTTTCGAGACAAGCAGAAAAAGAACGATGCATGGTAGAACTTGGCCGAATCGGTACAAAAAGACATTGTGCACTCTCTTTTTCTATTTCGTCTTTACATCGATTACAATTATAGCCGCAGCAATTCGTTTTTTCTTGGACAACAGTTTCCAATCGGAAGTTGTAAATCAAACTGGCAAGATGTCGTGCAACTCGCATCCCCTTCCCACGAGCAGCTCGCGAACGTAATTTGTCTCTCAGGTGGAAGGACACTTGAAAGTTTCTCCCTTTAGTTGATAACACAAACTCTCTGATAGTTACTCGCAATAAAATTTACTCTTATTGCTCTCAAATGGAAGGAGCACTGACTTTTCTTTCGTAACTCGCGAAGACTCGCAGAAAAAACTTTCAAGTACGCCCGGCTTTATACACGAACTTTGAGGGCACCATAATATATTAACTAAGCCACTTACATTCTCTATCTATATTATTATCGATTAATTCTGGGCCTGAAAGTTGAGTTTCATCGCTTTCATAATTTGATGGATGTATAGTCACCGACTTAACAGCGTGAAATTGTTCTTGTAAAATATTATTGTTTGGAGTCAGCACCTTGGTATTGTATTCTCCAGCAACCACTACCATGTTATTTTCAGCCAAATTATTATTGTTCAATAATGATGACCTGTAAAATTTCGGGATTATACATCAGAGATTCAGCTTCAATAAAATTCTGTAATAGTGCTAAACTGTGACCAGAATACGGGCAACCCCCACTCTGAACGCTAAAGAACTCACTGACATCCGTTAAAGACCATCTCGTGCTGTTTTGTTAGAAATATAATGACTAGTGAGCTAGTAAACCTGATTGAGATGTGACAAAAACTTACACATGTGCACACATGGCTCCTGCGATAACCACGTTAGGTTTGATTAAAATACCATTACATATATGTATCGTGTTAGTTAAGGACAGTGGGTCTGTTGACTGATATCTGACACGAATTGATACAACCCAAGGCCATTTACACGCATCACCGACATCTTGTCCATTTAATAATTTCGCAGATATACTTCTCACACCACACGATCTTGGTGCTATACAATTAAATATATAAATTATAACATGATGTTGTTTCTAACATTAAACACCATGATATCTATGTATCGATAAAAAAGCAAAAGAAATATTTCAAAGCAAAAATGTGTGCTTTGATGATTTTCACATCGGTTACTGTTCTGCATAAAATAAACAAATTATTGTATACAAGGAATATGATGTTTTGTAAAATGTAAAATTATTATTACCAATTGTTTGACATGTAGTACCAGTGTATCCACCTTGACAGGTACACAAGAATGATGTACCACTCGGTTGACATAAACCACTATTTTGACAAGGATTTGGTAAACATGGGTTAGCTGAAAGAAGAATAAAGATAGCTTGCCAGGCCAGTTAATATACGCCCACTGGCAGGTTTGATTTTGAATAAAATTATTTGGCAGTTCAGTATAGAATATTAAACCTTCAGTCATACACTTCTTTTGAACTTTTTGGGGCAATATTGAATAATATATCCGAGTTTTGTCCAAATCTGGCAAGAATCGTGGTTTTTAGTGTTTACGAGTTAAAAATTAAAAATGTTTTCTGAAACAATTTTTTGATTTTCAATAGGGTTCATCCATGGGTGATAATAAACAATTTCACCAAGTTTCGTCAAAATCTGTCAAGAATTATTGTGCCTTCTACTGAACGCGTTTTCAAGAATAAGGACAATAACTCATACTTTATATTTTTCGATTCTTCTGATTGTCAATAGGGTTTATCCTTGGGTGATAACAAATACTCACAGCAAGATTCGTCAAATTCTGTCAAGAATTGTGCCTTCTAGAGTGTTTACGGGCTATAACTTGAACGTGTCCTAAACAAGGGCAATAAATCATACTATTTTTTTTAGGATTCTACTGATTTTGCTAACAAACATTTACACTAAGTTTCATCAAAATCCGTCAAGAATTGTACCTATTAGAGTGTTTACGATCAAATGTGCGCGGACGGACGGACGAGCCGATGGACATGGGTGACGTCAATATACGCCCCTCATTTCATACGGGCATTTAAAACTTGAATTAATGAAGTTAGAAATTAGTCGTAGACAATTTTGGAATATGATTATGTGAAATGTACCATCATTACCAATTGTTTGACATGTAGTACCAGTGTATCCAGCTTGACAGGTACACAAGAATGATGTACCACTCGGTTGACAAAAACCATTATTTTGACAAGGATTTGGTAAACATGGGTTAGCTTAAAGAAGAAAAGAAATAGAATTAATGCAAAGAAATAAGTCGTAGACAATTTAGGAATATGATTGTAAAATTATTACCAATTGTTTGACATGTAGTACCAGTGTATCCAGCTTGACAGGTACACAGGAATGATGTACCACTCGGTTGACAAAATCCATTATTTTGACAAGGATTTGGTAAACATGGGTTAGCTTAAAGAAGAAAAGAAATTGAATTAATTTAGTGTAAAATTAGTCGTAGACAATTTAGGAATATGATTATTTAAAATGTAAAATTATTACCAATTGTTTGACATGTACTACCGGTGTATCCACCTTGACAGGTACACGAGAATGATGTCCCACTCGGTTGACAAAAACCACTATTTTGACAAGGATTTGGAGAACATAGATCTACTAAATATACAAAACATTCAATTTATTATATGTACTTTAAGAAGAATAACTTGAGAATTAGCAATGCATATATAATACATGATATATATTGAAAAATACATTAGTGACCGTCAGTTGCTTTAAAGTAATCACAGATTTAAACGATCTCAGCCGGATTTTCAATTCATATTCTAGTGGTGAAGAAAAAATACCAGTAGATGACAGATCCAACAAAACGAACATATTCTAAATGCCAAGTCACGTATATAACACTTTATCATACCGTTACATTGGGCAGTTGTAAGACATAGCAGACGGTAAGAAGCCATGTTTGTCTGCTAAGCAACGAGGTTCAAATCTAAAAAGGCAAGAACAACATCATCCGGGAGATGGCTTTGATGTATACATCACGAGATCAAAAAATGATTTTGGAACGTTATATACTTACTAACAGATTTTCTTTTATTTGTCCAAGTGGAACCTACCTCTAAATTCACACCGTGAACCAGTAAA